ATTGTTGTTTGGCGGGTCCGGGCTGGGGATTCGAACCCGCCACCTTAGGTGTACATGGCTGGCGCCTTAGCCGGTTGAGCTATAGGCGCCAAGCCATGAAAATTGGTTTTTAAAGGCCAGTAATTGTGTGTTAAGTCTTTTCCCCAGTTTATATGGCTACATATGAATTATAATAAAAGAATACGCCTATAGATAAAGTCTTTCCCCAGGTCGATATCATCAAAGTGTTTTTCCTATGCTTTGAGGATTTTTATCATTTCATGCCTTAAATTTAGGTCTTTTATCCATCTTGAATCAATTTTTGTGAGTGGAGAAAGGTGCAGGTCCAGTTTCAGTCTTTTATGTGTGGATGTCCAATTCTCCCAGCACCATTTATTGAATAGGTAGGGATTCTTTCCCACAGTGTATGTTCTTGTTTGTTTTATTGAAGATTAGGTGGTTGTAAAATGTTAGTTTCATTTCCTGGTTTTCTACTCGATTCCAAATGTCTGTGTCTCTATTTTTGTGCCAGTACCATGTTGTTTTGACCAGTATGGCCTTGTAGTATAGCCTAAAGTCTGGTAGGCTGATGCCCCCGGGTGTATTTTTATTACTAAGAACTGCCTTAGCTATGTGGTTTTTTCTGGTTCCATACAAAACGAAGAATTATTTTTTTCAAGTCTTGAAAGTATGATGTTGGTATTTTAATAGGGATGGCATTGAATCTGTAGATTGCTTTGGGAAGTATATATATTTTATTTTATTTATTGTTGCAGTTGCCACTGCTTTATCTCTACCTGACTAAATAGCTGAAAGGGAGAATTCTTTCCTCTTTTGCCTGTTTTGATGCCAACTCTAAATTGTAGAACCTAGAGACCCTTTGGAGTTACTATTATAGGAGTGCTAGGTTCCCCACTACATATCTTTGCTGGATAGTCTATTTCTCTAAAGAATAATTCCCCATAGAATTCTGTCCCTTTCCACTGAAACTCTGAAGTGGTGACTTTAGGGGGTTTTTGTGGTGATAGTTTTGGAGGGTTCTAAGCCTTCCCCAAAGGAATTCATGAAATTTATTTGTTTTTTAACTGGAACTAAATATGATAGTGAGTCTTTAGACTTGTTTTGTTAGCTAGAAATGTTCTGTAGATACCCTGTCCAATACAGTAGCCCCCTAGTCACCTGTGGCTTTTGAGCACTTCAAGTGTGGCTAAAATAACAAAGAGGCTGAATTTTTACCTTTTTTTTTTTTTT